GTTATCACGCTCAGCGAGTTCAACAAGGCAAACCAATGGAACCGATCCAGACACTCGTTTTGTCCTTTGCTGTCTGCATTAAAATTACTATTACAGATTTGATGTGTAATAGATTACTCTGGACAGGTGTAATCCTGTGGTGTATGTGTAAACTACAGAGCAAAGACAGACTTTATTTGAGCTTCAGCTCGTTTTAATGGAGGATCTGAAATGATGATAAATCCAAACAACAGTAAACATGAATGTATTTGGTCTGAGAAGAAAACAGTTTAAATAATCTCACGTGTTTGACTCAGAGGGGGGTGTTGTGGGGGGGGTTTACAGTAAATTTCTTCAAGCGCTGAACTTTACTTGACCCTGAGGCAGGTGTCTGTAGTTTTTAGGACTTTATCTCTGCAGCGATTTAGACTCAGAGCTCTCTGAGTGGGTTTTCACACCCGTCCACTCTGAAACGTGGCTGGGTGGGCTATGAACCAGCACGCTCTGCTAAGCGTCCACGTGGAAAAGGTTTGGAGAAACACTGTTTGTTGTGGAGCAAACCCTAATGGCATCCTTTTGTTGACAGGCCACCTGCTGCTTGTGCTGCATGCATGTGGTGGGGAGGAGCTCAGAGTGCTGATGAATGTACGAAGTGCAGGATTTTCATTATAAAGAAAAACGCTGTTTAAAGTGGCCATTCTTTACCAGCTGCACCAACGTAAGGCTCAGAACAGAAAAACGATCCTGTGAGATTGGAGGGCGTGAACATGTCAGTGTGTTACACACAGTATTTAATAAAGACGATGATCTTTTCATAACCCTGATGTATGGATTTCTCTAGCATGTAAGCGTTTTTGCTCATTATTCATGCTGTGAAGAGGAACCGGGCGGTGGCTGGAAGCCAATTGTTTATTTTACAGTCCCAATAGCAGAAATAGGAAAAGATGCCAGTGTTAATTACAGCTGACACGAAGCCAGGCGCAAACATAATCCTGCTCATCAGAGGGCTCTGTGAAGAGTGAGCACTGGGCTGCTGTGTTTTCCTATTTCTCCTCGCATCTCATTTTTATCTCATTTCAGAGCGAATCTCCTGAAGATGAAATTGTGCATTAAATATGTTGCAAACCCATCTGAATATCAATGAGAGCCCGGCCCTCCTGTTTGGCTGCACTGGTCCCATTTGAATTGTTTTTTTTGCACACTGAACCAACCACACGGCTCACGCAGTCATTCACACCCTCCTGTTTGCACGGTTAAGAGACTTCGCCCTCGCTCACTAAATGTTGCACAAAGTCCCCTCTCATCCTTATTCATGTTTCGTGGAAATCCTCCCCAGATAAATAATACGAGTCCCCAGTCACCTGGCTGTTGATGAGAAGAGATTCATTCTCGACTCGTTCATGAACCCTACTTCAGGAAGATAAAGAGTGCTGACGGTTAGGAAATACAGAATATATTACAGCGTATGCTCGTGTATAATATATGCCCGTTGTTAAAACTGTGGTACACTCTGCAGCTTAAGTCATAAAGGAAAGTTACCTATTCTTAAATGAGCCATTATCTACAGGCCATCTCTCCCTGATATTTAATTATAGAGGATCCAGCAGACGTTTAGCTGCATCAGCATGTTGAGGCACTTTTCTATAGAAGCATTAGAGATGTCACCGAGACCGAGACCTACGATTCAATACCAGAACACTGAAAACGAGACTGTTTCTATACTGCAGGTACTGTAGGCAGGTGTATGTACCAGGCTGCAACTGTTCCAGGAAGACGAGGAAGAAGAAAAACAAGACGGAAAACACTGCACGTCCTAAACTGGCCTCATAGCTCCGTCCTCACTAAAGGAAAATCCACAGAAGTCGACCGACGAAGGAGAAACGACCAACTGAATGAGCTTCTCCTACAAGTATTATCTTCTTATGTTATCCTGAAGTACACATGAGCAAATCTGAGAAAGCTGGCTTGGCTGTAAGTGTGAATTAGCAAGCGAATGGTTGTCTGGCCCTTTTCACTGCTGTGATTGGCTCTAGCTCAGCTGTGACTCTTAACTGGAGAAGCAGAACAAAAAATGGTCGGATTCAGTAACGTGACCTGCCTTAGTCGGACGTGTTGGTGGCTCGCATGTTTTTGGCTGTTTAATTAAGCAGATATTAACTTTTCCCGTGAACATGTACGATGTTAGAAAGCACAAAGTGCTCGTGTGAATGGGTGGAGGAAGCATGTTGAATACGGACAGAAACACACCACATAAGAACCAGTTCATTTACCATTCACACTCCCACTGCATTTAACATTCATCTTTCTTTGTTGTGGGAAACATAAAAAACCCGTTCACATGACATCCTCACTCACACTGACCGCTCGCAGGTTGCAGGTGGCTGCAGTCCTCTCATTAACTGCAGCTAATTACACGACGTGTTTCATGTGCATCAAAGTTGTAGCGCTTTCACATCGGTGTGTTTATCCATCATTATGTCACCTGGAAATCCTGAAGCATGAGCAGGTGAAGGTGGCTGCACGCTGCACGCTGCACGCTGTCTGTGCTGACGGTTAATCCCACACAGAGCCATTCCAAACAAAACCAACCAATCCTGAGCCGCCTACGTCAGTAAAGAGGTACAAGTATCAAGGTAAAGGAGTAACGTAGCCTCAGCATACTTTTCTAACCCTGATAAACTGGTAATATTTTAAGTCTTCAGTTAAACAAATATGACCGAGCCTGTGTTACTCTGACTGGACACAAGGAATAGAAACAGCTGCTCTGCTCTGAGCATGTTATCATGCAGCAGGTGTGACCACAGTCGTGTGATCAAAGCAGACCTTTATCACGCTGCGGTCCACAGACTACTGCAAAATTAAAAACTCATCACAGAAGGACACGATCTACACGAGGTGTTCATGTGTGCGGTCGCTTTTCTCCTCCGCTCAGACCAATTACAACAAAATTTAATAGGTGAATGTGATGAAGGACGTGTTGAGTGTGCATGCAGGGCAACCTTACAGCTCGAGCAGGTCTTTATCAACAGCCAACGATCTTCCACATGAAACACTTTTCTTCTTCTAATTCACTGCAACAGTTCAAACTTCTGAGGTTCTTAAACGGATGCTGAGCTTGTCCTTGTTGACTTTGTCGGGAGGAATCAACAAACCAAACTTCCTGCTAAAATCCCAACCGCTGCCTCTGTGTGATGATTGGCAGACAGCACCTCCCACGCACGCACATCGTGTCGAGACTGCTCGCCATAGTTTCAACTGTCACAAGGCAACAAGATGGCTCGGCATAAGAGTGACTTATGACTGACACTGCAGCAGAGGACTTGTCAGGGTAACAGCAGAAGAGCAGCGCGTAGGTGGGTGACACCGCGGAAAACAAACAGCCGTACAATGCAGCTGAGCGTGTGCGTGCCTGATGGCGCCGAGCTGTCAGTCGGGGGCATGTGTCAGTTTCACAATAACCAAACACAAGAGCGTGCACATCGTGTTTCACAGAAGGAATCTAAGAGTAATTTCTAACTCTTGACCCTTTGAAAGCCTGCTAGCAGTCAGCTTTGAAGCTCTTTTTCTGACATATTTCACGCCTGCTTGTAGAACAAAATAACCGGGTTTGCAGGAAGTCTCTTCCTACCGCCTCCTTCGGAAAAACAAACAAAATATTCCAATGGTGATCAAACCACGACTTTAGAGATGTCGGAACTGCTCACAAAAGGCAGATGGAGGTCCTCAAATGCTGTCATTGGGGAGAGTTAAGGAAAGTCCAAAGGAGGAAAAGCTCAAGTCTCATAGCTGCTGTTACAGTACGACTCTTACAGTATGCATGGATCTAAGTATGCACGTTCAGAAAGACTGAGAAAGGGTCAGTCGAGGGTGTAACACCAGCAAATACAAAGTCATGCCTACTGGCCTCCACACATCTTCATCGTTTATCGTAAACCCACATCATCGTCACGATTTAGCACTGCTTCTGTTTCAGCCTCAGATACTCACAGTTCGATGGCCTTGTTCCACATGATGACGTATCCGGACAAAATGAAGGACTCGATGTTGACGATGTGTGTGTTCCCGCGCTCCGTCCCCACATACAGCCATTTACTCTGAAAGGGCAGGTGGCAAAAGGTGATCCTGCAGAGAGAAGAAGGAAAACAGGCCGAGCGTCAGCCAAACAACGCTTTGTGCGTCTCTGGATCAAACACATAACCACACTCGTCTCTGAGTGTTAGGACAGTAAAATACGCCTGGTGCTGCTTATGTTGATGTGCTTATATGTGTTCAACATGTTGTCCATGTGAAATGGGACCTGCTCAAAATATATCATTTTAAAGATATAAAGATAAGAAATGTCTTAAAAAGCAACAACGTAAGAGCAGGCGAGCCTGTGACGTGAGGTGATTATCTGGACAAAGAAAAGTAATTAAACTGAAGTTTTGTTGCCTGAGTGTAACTGATGCAGGAGTGTGTGTGTACTGTATGTGACACACTGTACCGTG